CGTCTTCCAGCAGGGAACGGGAGATGCTTCCCTTACCTGAGAAAGGTGTCGGCTGCAATAAAACGCAACTGCAATTAATTCGCCTGAGAGCCCTTCAATCCTCCCTGCAATTATATGTCTCTATATATATAATATATAACATTCCTCCTGCACTTATAGAAGTTAACCCATTTGACTCCCGACCAATAGCCGTATGGCGTCCGGAAAAATGTACTAGCTTTCCGGGAGGCCGCCATATGGCGTAGTTCGCACGGTTGCAGAGCAGCGCAGCGGCGCGATCTGTCACGGCCGATGACAGATCTGAGTACCGCCCCCGTTGCCGGTACCATGTGACCTGCTGTGACCAATCACAGCAGGTCACATGACAGTTGTATACAATGGATGGCTTCATTCATGCCATCCATTGTATACTAGTGCCTAGCTGTGAATGGTCACAGCAGGTCACATGCACATGTCATGTGATTAGCTGTGGCCAAATCACAGCTAAGCACAAAAAAAAACCCCCCCTGAATGAATCGATGTCATTCAGGTAAATGCTTGCTTATAGCAAAGTAATTCTTTGCTATAAGCAAATTGTGTAAAAAAAAAAAAAATACTGATCACTTCCCCAAAGTAGTACAATGTTACTATGGTTACATTATACTACTTTGGTCATAGATAATATGAAAAAAAAAATCTTAAAAAAAAAGAAAAAATTAATAAAAAATTTAAAATAATAAAAAAAATGTAAAAAAAAAAAAAAAAAATTTTTTTTTTTTCACACTGTCACCAATCAGTGTCCCTGATCACCGCCATGCCAGTTATATGAAGACGCTGTACTGCACTGGTGACAGTATGTAAAAAAAATAAAATAGTGAAAATCATTTTTTTTATTTTTTTCATTTTCCGAAAAATTATGACAAAAAAAATACAACTTCAAAAAACTCGCCATGCCTCTTATGAAGTACGTCGGACTGTCTGCTCTCTGCAAAAAGGGGTCATTTGAGGGATATCTGTACTGTCCTGACATTTGGGGGATATCTGTACCGTCCTGACATTTGGGGGATATCTGTACCGTCCTGACATTTGGGGGATATCTGTCCTGTCCTGACATTTGGGGATATCTGTACTGTCCTGACATTTGGGGGATATCTGTCCTGTCCTGACATTTGAGGGATATCTGTACTGTCCTGACATTTGGGGGATATCTGTCCTGTCCTGACATTTGGGGATATCTGTCCTGTCCTGACATTTGAGGGATATCTGTACTGTCCTGACATTGGGGGATATCTGTACTGTCCTGACATTTGGGGGATATCTGTCCTGTCCTGACATTGGGGGAATATCTGTACTGTCCTGACATTGGGGGGATATCTGTACTGTCCTGACATTTGGGGGATATCTGTCCCTGTCCTGACATTTGAGGGATATCTGTACTGTCCTGACATTTGGGGGATATCTGTCCTGTCCTGACATTGGGGGATATCTGTACTGTCCTGACATTTGGGGGATATCTGTCCTGTCCTGACATTTGAGGGATATCTGTCCTGTCCTGACATTTGGGGGATATCTGTACTGTCCTGACATTTGGGGGATATCTGTCCTGTCCTGACATTTGAGGGATATCTGTACTGTCCTGACATTTGGGGGATATCTGTACTGTCCTGACATTTGAGGGGATATCTGTCCTGTCCTGACATTTGAGGGATATCTGTACTGTCCCTGACATTGGGGGATATCTGTACTGTCCTGACATTGGGGGGATATCTGTACTGTCCTGACATTTGGGGGATATCTGTCCTGTCCTGACATTTGAGGGATATCTGTACTGTCCTGACATTTGGGGGATATCTGTCCTGTCCTGACATTGGGGGGATATCTGTACTGTTTCTGACATTTGGGGGATATCTGTACTGTTCTGACATTTGGGGGATATCTGTACTGTCCTGACATTTGGGGGATATCTGTACTGTTCTGACATTTGGGGGATATCTGTACTGTCCTGACATTTGGGGATATCTGTACTGTCCTGACATTTGGGGGATATCTGTACTGTCCTGACATTTGAGGGATATCTGTCCTGTCCTGACATTTGAGGGATATCTGTCCTGTCCTGACATTTGGGGATATCTGTACTGTCCTGACATTTGGGAGATATCTGTACTGTTCTTACATTTGGGGGATATCTGTACTGTCCTGACATTTGGGGGATATCTGTCCTGTCCTGACATTTGGGGGATATCTGTACCGTTCTGACATTTGGGGGATATCTGAACCGTCCTGACATTTGGGGGATATCTGTACTATTCTGACATTTGGGGGATATCTGAACCGTCCTGACATTTGGGGGATATCTTTACCGTCCTGACATTTGGGGGATATCTGTACCGTTCTGACATTTGGGGGATATCTGTACTGTTCTGACATTTGGGGATATCTGTACTGTTCTGACATTCTTGGACCTCAAGAAATGAGATTGGCCGTCAGTAATTCAGGATTGATCAATATTCAGATCTATACCATAGTTTGTGAACTCTATAACTTTCCTACAAACTAAAAAATACATCCTAATTTGGGTTTTTTTTCACCAAAGACATGGAGCAGAATACATCTCGGCCTACATTTATGAAGAACAATTATTTATTTGCAAACTTTTATAACAGAAACAAAGAAAAACATGTTTTTTTTTTTTTCCAAAATTTTCAGTCTTTTTTTGTTAATTTAGCAAAAAATAAAACCCCCGGCGGTGATTAAATACCCCCAAAATAAAGCTCTGGTTGTGTGAAGAAAATGATAAAATTTTAGTTTGGGTGCAATGTTGTATGACCGCGCAATTGTCATTCAAAGTGTGAGAGCGCTGAAACCTGAAAAATGGCCTGGGCACTAAGGGGGGTAAAAGTGCTCGGTATGGGAGGGGTTAACTATAAACCGGCAGCCAACACTTGAAACTGATTCCTTAACCGTGTAAAGTAATATAACCCACAACAGTGCAGCGCTCTATCCCTAACGTACCTCCCAGAAACTACACACATATATATATATACCAACCTACATGAACAATAAACGCACATGAAGTGCTCTAACAAATCAGTGACCTGCAGTCACCCTAGTGCCCTATAAACCAGTGAATAAATGTCATAAACAATATCTTAATACGTGATACCCCAAGGAAGTCACGGGATTTGGTGACGTAACGCGTAGGTACACCGTGACGCAGCTCCGGAGCGTGGTGACGCACTTCCGGCGTCGCCGCCATCTTGGTCCACCCGGAAAATACCCCATTCATGCAGTACACCCCAGCATGAGGAATCGGCTGTTGGGCTTTTGACTAAATATTTACTTCCTGTGATACCTGGAATATCCAAGATGGCGGCGACGCCGGAAGTGTGTCACAACGCTCCGGAAGCTGCGTCGTGGTGTACCTACGCGTTACGTCACCGAATCTCGTAAAGGATACAGCTAAAAAAACTACTAGAAGCCCGCTAGTCCTGTTTTTTTTTTCCAGCCAAAAAACATTGATTCCGGTCTGTGTGTGTATGGGCACATAAGATCACATGCTGGGGGGGGGGTTTCCTGGCTGTAGGAAAAAACCTCAAAAGCCAAAAACAGCCGCTGTAAAAACGAGTAAATGAGTTTGTTCGCTCTCATGTGGATGAACTGAGCAGGCTTGATACTGAGCCATGGGGAGCAGAGAAGAACTGTCGAAAGACCTGCGTAACAAGGTAAAGCTGGAAAAGGATATTAAAGGATATCCAAAGCCTTGACTATGCCAGTCAGTGCTGTTCAATCACTTATCAAGAAGTGGAAAATTCTGGGATCTCTACATACCAAGCCAAGGTCAGGTAGACCGAGAAAGATGGCAGTCACAACCGCCGGAATTGTTTCGGGATACAAAGAAACCCCCCCCCCCCCCCCACAGGTCACCTCAGGAGAAATACAGACTGCTCTGGGAAAAGACGTTATGGTTGTTTCAAGGAGCACAATACGACAAATGAGCTGCATGGTGGAGTTGCCAGAAAGAAGCCTTTAGTGCGCCAATAACACACAATAGCCCGGGTACAATACGCCCGGCAACACCTTGACACGCCTCACAGCTTCTGGCACACTGTATTCAGGAGTGACGAGACCAAAGTAGAGCTTTCTGGTCACAACCAGGTGCTGTGTTTAGAGAGGGGTCAACAAGGCCTATAGCGGCAAGAATACCATTCCCACTGTGAAGCATGGTGGTGGCTCATTGATGTTTTGGGAGTGTGAGAGCTCTAAAGGCACGGGGAATCTTGTGAAAATTTGAAGGCAAGATGAATGCAGCGTGTTATCAGACAATACTGGCAGACAATTTGCATTCTTCTGCGCATGGGACGGTCTTGGACTTTCCTGCATGACAATGACCCCAAACACAAGGCCAAGCTGACCCTCCGGTGGTTACAGCAGAAAAAGGTGAAGGTTCTGGAGTGGACATCACAGTCTCCTGACCTTCATATCATCGAGCCGCTCTGGGGAGATCTCAAACGTGCGCTTCATGCAAGACCACCAAAGACTTTGCAGGACCTTGAGGCATTTGGTCAAGATGGATGAGGACAGCTCTACCACCTGCAGGAATTCGGGGGCCCCATAGACAACTGTTACAGAAGATGGTGCGCTGTGATTGATGCTAAAGGGGGCGATACACAGGATCAAGGACTAAGGGGGTGCAGACTTTTGAACAAGGGGGCATTTCATTGGGTTTTACTTGTTGCCATGTTCAATTTTCTGATTGGCCCATTCTGTTATCACCTTCAATTACAGAATAGGAATCCCATAAAAAATGAAAGAAATGGGTTGTGCCGGCTCACTCATAGCACATCCTGTAAATCAGGGCTCGACAAATCCCAGGCGCCAGGTCACAGTGGTGACTAGAAATTGCATCCTGGCACCAGGGATCACACACTCACTGCCTCCCATAGACCTCTGTGGGAAGTCGGGCCCCATAGACCTCTGTGGGAAGTCGGGCCCCATAGACCTCTGTGGGAGTTAGGTTAGGTTAAGGGACATTCTTCCCACTGACCCCCAATGTAAGGGACATTCTTCCCACTGACCCCCAATGTAAGGGACATTCTTCCCACTGACCCCCAATGTAAGGGGCATTCTTCCCACTGACCACCATGTAAGGGGCATTCTTCCCACTGACCACCAATGTAAGGGACATTCCTCCCACTGACCACCAATGTAAGGAGCATTCTTCCCACTGACCCCCAATGTAAGGGACATTCTTCCCACTGATCCCCAATGTAAGGGACATTCTTCCCACTGACCACCAATGTAAGGGGCATTCTTCCCACTGACCCAATGTAAGGGACATTCATTCTTCCCACTGACCCCCAATGTAAGGGACATTCTTCCCACTGACCCCCAATGTAAGGGGCATTCTTCCCACTGATCCCCAATGTAAGGACATTATTCCCACTGACCACCAATGTAAGGGACATTCTTCCCACTGACCACCAATGTAAGGGACATTCTTCCCACTGACCCCCAATGTAAGGGACATTCTTCCCACTGACCCCCAATGTAAGAGACATTCTTCCCACTGACCCCCAATGTAAGGGACATTCTTCCCACTGACCCCCAATGTAAGGGACATTCTTCCCACTGACCCCCAATGTAAGGGACATTCTTCCCACTGACCCCCCCAATGTAAGGGACATGTTGCAGGTCGGTGGAGCGGTCACGTGTCCTCGGTGTAGATCTGGGTAGGGATCTCTCTTCAATGTCTCATTGTCTTTCAGCAAACACAGGCCGGCCCGGGTAAACATCCTGTGTGTGGGGCGGGGTCTTTGTACACAGGTAGGTAGGTAGGTCACCTGCTGCAGGTAGTTGATGTAACCTGGAGAAGAGGATTGTGGGAGCTCCAGGTAAACAAGGACCCAGAGGGAGTCGGTTTGGCTCAGGGCCACCAGAGGAGGCGGATAGACTCGGAGATCTGAAGATATAATAGGCACACGGGAGGGGGAGGGGGGGGAGGTGATTTGTAATATGTGCCGGTGTGGATGGCCCGTGACCGATTTATACCTGAACGATTGTTACGTCAGGAAGGTGTAGGTTCTGTGTTTGCTAAACAGTCCCTGGAGCCCCCAGGCTGGTGCTTTCCCAGGGGAATCCGGGCGTGAGGCACACGCGTCACCTACCGAGTGTTTACTTAGTGCTGATTGCTGCAACAAGGAATCTGTCACCTTCACCCCTGGTGACACCTCACTGCTGCTGATCTCCCACAGCCTCTTTGTAGCTGCTTCCTGGCTACAGGCTCTCCAGGGTTGGCTGCATGGCACTTCTCATGGCGGGTTTCCTGAGGGTGACAACACTGGCGTGAGGGGGGGACACAACTGGGAGTCAGGGACAGAGCGTTGTCACCCTATAACAGGAAGTGCCTGAAGGAGGACCTTAATGGCGGGATCAGCAAGTGGGAAAAGGAGAGCTGCAGATATAAAGCGGATCTACCCCCCCCCCCCCCCCTCCCTGGTCTCGTAATAGGTGCAGGAACTCTCCCTTCCAAGTCACCCCTTGTCTCCGCCCCCTACCCACCTTCGAGCACTGGTTCCACCCCCTCCCAGTCCCGCCCCTTTTAGAGAATATGGAACTGAGTATCAATTTGGGGTGCAAAGTAATTTGTGTGGAATTTGTTCATGATAACAAGAAAAGCAGGAAAATACTATAGATCCTCTGCAGCCAGCAACAAAAAGACCCCCTTTCCAGCAACAATGGATCCACCTAGAAACAATGGATCTCCCCTCAGCCAGCATTAATAGACCCTCCAGCAATCAGCAATAATAGACCCCTCCCTCAACAGTAGATCTATCCCATTAATTGACTCCTCGGCAACAATAGATCCACCACTAGCATCAAAGATCTCCCCAGTAGGCAGCATCAATAGACCCTCCAGCAATCCGCAATAATAGACCCTTCTCTCATCAGTAGATCAATCCCATCAATAATTGACTCCCCAGCAACAATAGATCTCACCCCCCCCCCCACTAACATCAATAAACCCCCCCAGCAGCCAGCATCAATGGACCCTCCAGCAATCAGCAATAATAGACCCCTCTCTCAACAGTAGATCCATCCCATCAATAATTCACCCCCCAACAATAGATCCCCAGCAACCAGCATTAATAGACCCCCCAGCAATCAGCAATAAAAGACCCCCCTCAACAGTAGATCCATCCCATCAACTTTTGACTCCCCAGCAACAATAGATTCCACCCCCCCCACTAACATCAATAAACCCCCCCAGCAGCCAGCATCAATAGACCCTCCAGCAATCAGTAATAATAGACCCCTCTTTCAACAGTAGATCCACCACCATAACAAACTGCTGCGGGCACCATCAAATCTGACCTGATATCAGCCTCTTGTACAGCAGAGCTGGACTGTGAGAGGAGGAAGCAGCACAAGGCGTCAAGAAGCACGTTGATAGGAGGAGAGAGCAGAGAGATGGACTCACCACTGTGCTGCTTCTCCTTTCACTGTCCAATCACAAGCTGGGGGAGGGTAAAAGACAACCTGGTCCTATAGGAAGTGTGTTGAATGATGCTGGCCATCTGACTGAGGACATCTAGTGGCAGAAAAAAATACTATGGGGGGCATTTTCTAGATCAGGGGCCTCCAAACTTTACAAGCAAAGGGTCCTTCAGACTTTGAGGGGGTGGATGGTGGCCAGTGGGAGGAATATTGCCCCATCATTGGTGTCAGTGGGAGGAATAGTGCCCCATCATTGGTGTCAGTGGGAGGAATAGTGCCCCATCATTGGTGTCAGTGGGAGGAATAGTGCCCCATCATTGGTGTCAGTGGGAGGAATAGTGCCCCATCATTGGTGTGTCAGTGGGAGGAATAGTGCCCCATCATTGGTGTCAGTGGGAGGAATAGTGCCCCATCATTGGTGTCAGTGGGAGGAATATTGCCCCATCATTGGTGTCAGTGGGAGGAATAGTGCCCCATCATTGGTGTCAGTGGGAGGAATAGTGCCCCATCATTGGTGTCAGTGGGAGGAATAGTGTCCCATCATTGGTGTCAGTGGGAGGAATAGTTTCCCATCATTGGTATCAGTGGGAGGAATAGTGCCCCATCATTGGTGTCAGTGGGAGGAATAGTGTCCCATCATTGGTGTCAGTGGAAGGAATAGTGCCCCATCATTGGTGTCAGTGGGAGGAATAGTGCCCCATCATTGGTGTCAGTGGGAGGAATAGTGTCCCATCATTGGTGTCAGTGGAAGGAATAGTGCCCCATCATTGGTGTCAGTGGGAGGAATAGTGCCCCATCATTGGAATCAGTGGGAGGAATAGTGTCCCATCATTGGTGTCAGTGGAAGGAATAGTGCCCCATCATTGGTATCAGTGGGAGGAATAGTGCCCCATCATTAGTATCAGTGGGAGGAATAGTGCCCTATCATTGGTGTCAGTGGGAGGAATAGTGTCCCATCATTGGTGTCAGTGGAAGGAATAGTGCCCCATCATTAGTATCAGTGGGAGGAATAGTGTCCCATCATTGGTGTCAGTGGAAGGAATAGTGCCCCATCATTGGTGTCAGTGGGAGGAATAGTGCCCCATCATTGGTGTCAGTGGGAGGAATAGTGTCCCATCATTGGTGTCAGTGGAAGGAATATCAGTGCCCCATCATTGGTGTCAGTGGGAGGAATAGTGCCCCATCATTGGTATCAGTGGGAGGAATAGTGTCCCATCATTGGTGTCAGTGGGAGGAATAGTGCCCCATCATTGGTATCAGTGGGAGGAATAGTGCCCCATCATTGGTGTCAGTGGGAGGAATAGTGCCCCATCACTGGTGTCAGTGGGAGGAATAGTGCCCCATCATTAGTATCAGTGGGAGGAATAGTGCCCCATCATTGGTATCGGGGGTGTGGCGGGGGGTCCTCCAGCGCTCTGGACAACTTGGGCTCAGAGGAAGTGGGTTGAGTGATGCCATCACAATGGGGACATCTAGTGGCAGAAAAAAAGTACTGCGGGTGAATCTGTACATTGAAGGTTAAGGCACTGCCATTGACATTCATTAGATGCGATTTCAGTTCGCAAATCGCGCCTGACATCGCGCCGAGCACTAACACACCACTGTGATTTCAGGCGCGTTTTGCGAATTGAAATCGCATCTAATGAATGTGAATGTCGTAAAATGCGCGATTTGCTGAAAGTAGTTGCGGCATAACTTTTCCTGCAGTTTTTGTTGCGATTTCACATTCATAGAATATCATGGAAATCGCTCTGAAAATGGCGAGAAATCGCTGAAAATCTTCACGAGTCGCAATAAAGTCTTCAGAAATCGCACAGAAAACAATTTAAAAATCGCAGAGGTGTGACCGCTGACTTACACCCCGGTCACGCCGGGCACGACTTGCCGCGCCATTTTCCATACCGTGCGAGTTTCAAATCGCATGGCAAGTCGCACCCTAAGAGCGACACCCGACTTTGGAATCGTGCGACTTCACCACAAGTCGGATGGCTGGATGGTGGATACGCCTCCTCCCAGCATTCTATTGCAGGTCATAGACAGGTCGAACATCGGCCGATTTTTTGAAAAAAAAAAAAAAAAAAAAAAAATAAAAACGAAAAAATTGGTCGTTCTGTCGGCCAATGTTACCACCAACCAGGGGCGGACTAAACATTTGGGAACTCGGGCACTGAGGGCCCGGGTCAGTAGGGGCCCCATGAGATGACCCTGGTACCTTTCATAGGCTTTTTTGGGTGTGGTTTGAGTGTGGGTGAGGACACAGGGGCCCCATGATGCCCTATTGCCCGGGGGCCCCATGAGTTGTCAGTCCGCCCCTGTCACCAACGGTAACAAAAATCGTCCGACAAAATCATAGAGTTCACCCCCGTAACGTCTGTCCCTTGCAGGTCACGGCTCATGCGCAGATTTTTTTTTCGGTAAAACGATCGACCGACTTGCCCATCATTGCCGGATAAATCGGCCGATCGTCAAAATCGTCTGCGAATGTTCCAACATGACCGAAAAACAAAAACCCGAAAAAACGGCCGACCAATTACCCCACTAACAGTGCGAAAATTAGACGATTTTTTTTCCTGCTGGAAAATCGGTAGATTTTTTTTTTCGGCCGAAAAATCAGCCAATTTTCGCATATGTTTTGTATAATCGCTCCATTTAGCGCACCGCTCCCGAGCGAGACCCGTGTGACACCTTGCGTGTGGGTGCCGCTGCCTGGCACTGCGAGGGTTACTAGCAGCCTATGGCAGGGCTGCCCCCATCGCCCTAATTACCCGTTACATAACGAGGACTTTTCTGTGCCGTTTCTAGCGCGGAGGATCCTGGGAGCTGCTCCAGTTTATTGCCGCGTCCGGGGAGACGAACGTTGCCTCTTCCTGCGATCTGCGACCTCGAATTATTCAGCACCGAGGCTGCCAGTCCCTGATCAGGGCAAGCCGAGGTCAGCCGAGCACCTATAGTGTGTGCTGGGTGGGGAGGATTCCAGCAGCTCAGGGCTGGGCCAGCAGTCATCCGGTGCAGGTACATCCCAGCACACCTTCATTCCACACACAGCACTGCACAGGCACGCCGC